GCAACATTGTTTGGATGCTTGGGCAACATTGTTTGGCTGCTTTGGGCAACATTGTTTGGCTGCTTGGGGCACCATTATTTGGCTCTGCTTGGGCAACATTGACAGCTTGGGCAATATTGTTTAACAGGTTAGGCAATATTGTTTGACAGCTTGAGCATTATTGTTTGACAGCTTGAGCAATATTGTTTGACAGCTTGGGCAATATTGTTTAACAGGTTAGGCAATATTGTTTGGCAGCTTGAGCCATTATTGTTTGACAGCTTGGAGCAATATGTTTGACAGCTTGAACAATATTGTTTGACCAGCTTGAGCAATATTGTTTGACAAGTTGAACAATATTGTTTGACAGCTTGGACAATATGTTTGGCAGCATGGACAATATTGTTTGTTGTTTGACAGCTTTGGGCAATATTGTTTGACAGCTTGGAAAATATTCCAAGAACGTCAAGAATTTAAAATCCGGTGATGAATTATTTGTGTTTTGTATTAATTCTCTTAAACCATTATTTACATTGTAGTTCTCATTCTTCCCCTCTGCCCTCTTGTTCCTCCCACTCTCCCTCTCTCTCCCTCTCTCTCCATCTCTTTCTCTTCCCCTCCTCCTGCTCCTCTTTCTCCTCCTCCTCGTCCTAATCATCCCCAGAACAATTTAACCCACATTAAGCCTTAACTATCACTTAATCGTAGATATTCCAGATATTATTATAATAATTATCTACACTCTGAGGACTTTCTTGGGTTGTCTGTAGTGTATGTGTTTGTTTAGTTGTTGTGTGTGTTTGTTCCGTTGTTTGTGTTCCGTTGGTAGTGATATAAAGGCATGGTTTGGCCTCCCTCCTTGTTAGTGTTGGCGTCGTTTCATGCATCTTTGGTCACATTTTGGTTTTCTCGTTGTCTCCTAAATGTTAATTTTCGCTTTCATATTGTTTTCTGTGTCATCCCCCTCTCTTCTTGACTATTTCTGCTGGTTTCCTCTTTCATTCCTTATTGGTCAAGGAATTTGTCCCGTCGTCATCTCTCTCTCTCTCTACTCTCTTCTCTCTCTCTCTCTCTCTCTCTCTCTCTCTCTCTCTCTCTCTCTCTCTCTCTCCTCTCTCTCTCTCTCTCTCTCTTCTCTTTCTCTCTCTTTGCACCTTGTTGCCTGTTCATCTCGCACCAAAAATATGCACAATAATTTTAGTCGTAACAGTAGTAGTGCGCGCGAGCGTGGGTGTGTGTGTGTGTGTTTCTGTTTGTGTTTGTAATGTGTGTGTGTGTGTGTGTGTGTGGTGTGTGTGTGTGTGTGTGTGTGTGTGTGTGTACTCACCTATTTGTACTCACCAATTTGAGCTTGCAGGATCGAGCATTGACTCCTGGATCCCGCCTTTCCAGCCATCGGTTGTTTACAGCAATGACTCCTGTCCCATTTCCCTATCATACCTAATTTTAAAATTATGAATAGAGTTTGCTTCCACAACCTGTTCCCCAAGTGCATTCCATTTTTCCATACTCTCACGCTAAAAGAAAACTTCCTAACATCTCTGTGACTCATCTGAGTTTCCAGTTTCCACCCATGTCCCCTCGTTCTCTTATTATTACGTGTGAACATTTCATCTATTTCCACTTTGTCAATTCCCCAGAGTATTTTATATGTTCCTATCATATCTCCTCTCTCCCTTCTTTTTTCTAGTGTCGTAAGGTTCAGTTCCCTCAGACGTTCTTCATATCCCATCCTCGTAACTTTGGGACAAGCCTCGTCGCAAACCTCTGAACCTTCTCTAGTTTCCTTATGTGTTTCTTCAGGTGGGGGCTCCATGATGGCGCGGCATACTCTAAGACTGGTCTCACGTAGGCATTGTAAAGCGCCCTAAATGCCTCCTCACTTAGATTTCTGAATGAAGTTCTAATTTTCGCCAGTGTAGAGTACGCTGCTGTCGTTATCCTATTTATATGTGCCTCAGGAGTTAGATTAGGTGTCACATCCACTCCCCGGTCTCTTTCTCGAGACGTTACACGTAGGCAGTTCCCATTCATTGTGTACTATCCTTTTGGTCGTCTATCACCTGATCCCATTTCCATAACTTTACATTTACTGGTGTTGAACTCCAGGAGCCATTTCACTTACCATCTCTGCAACCTGTTTAAGTCCTGTGTGTGTGTGTGTGTGTGTGTGTGTGTGTGTGTGTGTGTGTGTGTGTGTGTGTGTGTGTGTGTGTACTCACCTAATTGTACTCACCTAATTGTGCTTGCGGGGGTTGAGCTCTGGCTCTTTGGTCCCGCCTCTCAACCGTCAATCAACTGGTGTACAGATTCCTGAGCCTATTGGGCTCTATCATATCTACATTTGAAACTGTGTATGGAGTCAGCCTCCACCACATCACTTCCTAATGCATTCCATTTACTAACTACTCTGACACTGAAAAAGTTCTTTCTAACGTCTCTGTGGCTCATTTGGGTACTCAGCTTCCACCTGTGTCCCTTGTTCGCGTCCCACCAGTGTTGAATAGTTCATCCTTGTTTACCCGGTCGATTCCCTGAGGATTTTGTAGGTTGTGATCATGTCCCCCCTTACTCTTCTGTCTTCCAGTGTCGTAAGGTGCATTTCCCGCAGCCTTCCTCATAACTCATGCCTCTTAGTTCTGGGACTAGTCTAGTAGCATACCTTTGGACTTTTTCCAGCTTCGTCTTGTGCTTGACAAGGTACGGGCTCCATGCTGGGCCGCATACTCCAGGATTGGTCTTACATATGTGGTGTACAAGATTCTGAATGATTCCTTACACAGGTTCCTGAACGCCGTTCTGATGTTAGCCAGCCTCGCATATGCCGCAGACGTTATTCTCTTTATGTGGGCTTCAGGAGACAGGTTTGGTGTGATATCAACTCCTAGATCTTTCTCTCTGTCTGTTTCATTAAGTACTTCATCTCCTATTCTGTATCC